TCTGTTGAGAGTTCGGGGGCACAGATATCATATTCATTTTAGCAAGCTCGTTTATGTTTGGAAAATGATGGGAGACATTTCCCCACCAAGCCCACTATATCTATGCTCGGTATTTCCATCAGCAACACTCTTTCATTGGATTATCATGTCAGATCCATCGCAAAAGCTGCTTCCAAAAACTCGGATTCTTGTTCCGTGCGAGAAGCTACTTTACACCTCAACAGCTTCTCATGATCTACAATGCGCAGATACGGCCTGTTCTAGAATACTGTTCCCACATATGGGGTTCGGCACCAAAACATATGCTGATGCTCTAAGATTCCATTTAGAGAAGAGCCATTCGCCTGGTGGCTGACGCCACACTCACTCACTCTTTGACATCATTGGAACACCGTAGAAAGGTCGGCGACCTTTCACTTTTTTATCGATACTTCCACGAGAAATGTTCCTCGGAAATCTCTGCTATCATCCCTTCACTAGCAATACCAGTCAGACGAACTAGACAAGCCCAGTCAGCACATCCTTTCGTTGTCAACCTCGAAAGAAGAAACTCCTTCATCCATAGAACGGCTAGGCTCTGGAATTCATTGCCTGAGGAAGTATTCCCAACAACATACAATCTCCAGAAGTTCAAAAAAAATTCCAATACCTACCTCCTGTCCCTATCCTCCCTAGGAACGCACGATGTTCTTTGAACATTATAGGGATTTCCTTTCGTGCGCTCCAAGCGATAAAATAAAAAAACCTGGCATCCATGTATTGATTTGCCAACTTGATTCGATGATTTCGAAAATTACTATAGTGTTGTTCGTGGTGCAGCTTTGGCACGACTTATTGAGCAAGTATAAATTTAGAGTTACTGTGTGTTCGGGATCCAAATGACCTTGAATGATGATGAATAATGAAGTTCTGCCTCTATCCTTCGACAACTTCCTATGTCTTGATTAACGTCGATAACAATCTCATTGTATATTTCCCAACAATCTCATGATATATTTCGTTATAGATGAATATTTTATTTTTCATCATTATCTGCAGAATAATAGAAATTGAGTAATGAGGTGGACTTGCGTCAGATTGATATTCAATTTATTACTATGAAGGCTATAATTAACGTTGTTGTTATAGCTGAAATAAGTTTACAAGGATCTATTGAAAGTTTGTTTCGTAAAATTGCGCTATATATATTTGACGTGTTTTTTATGGCATTCGTCAATTATTTATTGCTAATTAACAATTTTTCGAGATAATGTTAAATGACGTGTGAAGAAAAAGGAAATTCCTTGAGGAAATATTTCAATACAATAGAGTTTTGCTTACAGTCTTTAATAATGTGGCCTGATATATACAGGGTGATTCAGGTTTTAGGACACAAACTGGAATGGGAGATAGAACTCATCATTTCAATCAAAATAGTTTATATAAACATTAGTCCGATCTCGTTCAGTAGCGGAGCTACAGAGGGTCAAAGTTAAATTATTTTTTCCTATTAATTGAAATATATCGCTTATTTTTCAAGATATCATTTTGAAATTTAATGTGGTCAATACTTCCTAGAAGATCATCATTTCAAGCCATTTGAAGATTTTCAAAATCTACAGGGTGATACGTTTTTGGGGGTAGAGGCTTCTTTATTCCCCCCAAACTTTTTCGTAGCTTCTAGGAAGTATTGAGCACACTAAATTTCAAAATGATATGTTGAAAAGTAAGCGAGATATTTCAATTGATGGAAAAAAATAATTTAACTTTGACCCCCTGTAGCTCCGCTACTGAACGAGATCGGACTACTGTATATATTAACTTTTTTGATTGAAATGACGAGATCTATTTCCCATTTCAGTTTGTGCCTCAAAACCTGAATCACCCTGTTTATATAGGTACCTACATAGTGCGTGACCCATTTGCTAATTTTCAAGGCTTCTTTTTTCTTTGAATTTGGTAGATATAGTTCATGAGACATTGATCATGGCTTTCCTTCATTTTCTACTGTCATACTTTATGCTGAAATGTCTTCTATATGCAAAATTTAATTCATATACTTGTATCACTCTCAGACCTCTTGTTGATCAGATATATTACCACAGAATACGTTGAGTATTCTGTGATATTACTATATTACTAATGAATCCCCCATTTTTCATAAATATCAACATTCTTTCCGCATTACGAATATTTGAAAGTTACTAGTTTAAATTGCCTATTAGGTACAATGTAATTTGATGAGGCGATAAGAAAGCATGTTCATTATGTGTTTAACAAGATCACAAGTGAATACCTACATTGTAGTTCCGTGCCACAAGATCAGTTTTACAGGATGATTCCCATAATTCCTCGACTAACCACTCAAAACTATATGGAAATGATATTGAGAAATAATTTTATGACAATTAAATGATTATTGAAAAATAAAAGAACTTGTTTCAACTCAAAACTAAGGTATGTAATAGGGAAGATAGTTCTCTTACCTCTACAACACAATAATTGTAGTAGAAAAAATTTTAAAAGTATCTTCTCGGATTAATATCAATAATTTTTCAACCAAAGTGTTTCTTAATACACAGTGTTCCTCCGAGTGTAGTGCAGGAACAAATATAATGAATACATCTCAAATAATCCCAAACCTACAGTTCTATCATAAACATGATAACTTCCCGACACTCTGTGTGATGACTATGATGGCTATGAGGGTATTATTGCTGATGCCTTCTCCAGATATTTGTGGTTTACAGATGGATGGTCCTGAACTAAAATCAAACAAAACCGCATAGAGGATACCAATTTTCAAAGAACTAATGCAGAGGTTTGATTCCTGAATAACCTTAGCATTTCATTTGTAACATTCTCAGCTATGAAATGCTCTACAAAAATGCATAAATACATTATGTCGGCGTCAATTAGTGAAATCCGGCATTCCCTGAGGCATGATGTATTGCACGTAACTCTACTAGTTGGTACACCGTTTGCATGTCTAATAGTTGTCTAATAGTTTCCCTGAAATGCCCAAAATGTACGGAATATCTGTTGATCGTTCTAGTGTTGATTGATGCTATGAATTAATAACATTCTAATTTTGTCGAACTCATCATGAGAGTAATCGAATTTTATCAAGATAACCTTCGATGTAGTGGACTAGTTACGAAATCCAAGTGCCATATTCAAACCCCTTCCTTCCCACTGGTGTAGAAGTTTCAGATGTTTATTTACTGAAAAAACTTAGTTCTACGCCCACATATTCATCATTTATTTTTGGATGTATGATAAATTGACTTTCATCATACAGGACGTGGAAAGAAATTCTGAATTGAGAAAAACCTAATCACGAATTATATTATACATATATGCATATCTTTATATGAAGGAGAATGCAAATTCTCTACTTCAGAAGATTTTGTTTTAAAATTCTTTTCGTGTGTGTTCAATAGATGTAATTCAATATTCGACGTGGCATATAGCCAGGAAAGTAGTTGTTTTCTGTTGAATAAACCGAGAAAGAATTAATATTTTCATCATATGGAGAATGCGAAACGTTATTATCCGACCAATTTCAAAAAACCACTTTTTGTTGGATAGGTATTTGAAATGCCCATCCAACGAGAGAGTGATCTAATTCTTGGACTGTTATCGTGGCCAACTGCGACAAATTTCAATGACCCATATTCCTGAAAGTACTATTAGGGATTTTTTTCCACGAAACCTGATGATGGATTCTGAATCAGTATACCACTTGAAATATACCTGTACCGATTTTCATCATCATAAAACACAGGGTGTCCGAAAAAACGAATCATTATTTTCTTCAAATAGGTGATCAGCAAATGTAGTTCTGTAGTTTTTCTAGAAAGAAATAATCACAAATTATCATTGAGGACTATTTCATATATACCTGTACCAATGTCAATGTCATTTGAATATACAATGTATCTGAGAAAAAAATCAAAAAGGATAGGTAAGCAATATTTTTCATCCTGATAATTCTTCACTCAAAATAAAAAGATGAATCAGGATCACTTGGAACATACCTGTAACGATTTTCATCATAATCAAAAGCAGGGTGTTCGAAAAATCAAATTAATTTTTTTTTTCAGTTGATGAAAAAATATTGCCTACTTTTTCTTTTTAATTGTTTTCTTATACACATCGTATTTTTGAATGATGAAAATCGGTACAGATATGTTCAAAGTGATCCTCAATAATAATGTGTCATCAATTCTTCTCAAAAATACCACAATACTACATTTTCTGATCACCTATTAAAAAAAAACATAACTGTTTTTTTCGGACACCCTGTGTTTTATGATGATAACAATCAGTAAAGGTGTTGCTCAAGTGATCGTGATTCAGAATCCATCATTGTTTTTTGTGAAAAAAAATCCCTAATAGTACTTTCTCGAATATAGGTCAATAAAGTTGGTCGCAGTTGGCCACGGTTACAGTTCATGAGTAAAATCACTCTCTTGTTGGATGGACATTTCAAATACCTATCCAACGAAAAATAGTTTTTTGAAATCGGTCAGATAATAACAATTTTACAGGGGTGGTAAGTCCTTAAGGTGGACACACTGTATATCAAAAAACAAGAAGTAATGGTATTGCCTCCATTCAGAAGAATGCAAGCGAATTTCTTGATCTTTCTCTTTGTTTTCTTCCTCTCCTATGATTTTAATATTATTTCACTCTGCCTTATGTTGTTCATTTTCAGTGAAAAATCGATTTTTTTTTCGATATATCTATATATCTTCAACATTTTTCCAAACAAAGTGTCAATGTCAAGCTATTTGATTTTTCTTCTAGGATCCTTTAGGCTAAATTAGGTTGTGCATGAATCCACCTGTTGTTTTATTATATACAGGGCGTCATATCGCTAAACAAGATGTAGGGCAGTGACCTTGTGGTCTACTCCCGATTCCATTCCACCGCCCTTGAGTCGTTGGTAAAGTAAGGTATGCCATCTCGTGCACGCTCTGTTGGATCCGCGCACCGTGCGTTGCATAATAGGAGGATATCGTTATGGAAGTGAAGTGGAATATGATCATACTACAGGAGAGGTGAACGATGGTGTATGCGTGTGTAGAAAGTGGCATTTTCGCCGATGGCTAATATATAAACGGAGCGGCGGAATCACAGACACACAGAGAGCCTTCCTGCATCCCATAGCAATCATGAAGGCCTTGGTGAGTATTCGGCGGTGTTCTGTGTTTTTTCGAAAAAAAATCGAGGGTTTTTTGAAAATGTGCTGTGTTCTGAGGTTCGGAAGAGTGCTGGAATCTTAGGAGTGTTCGAAGAATAGTTTCCTAAAAATAAACGAGAAATAGTGCAGTGCTATAACAAAGGGTGATCTTCAAAGCCTATACCACATAATCTTCAGACCATTTGAGCAAACAACGAAGTTGCTTTTTTGGGCGCTAGATTTTCAAATTGTTTTTGTTTTAGTGTGAAACGGCTCATGAGATTCCACTCAAAATCGGTACATTGGCAAAGCTTAATAAGACGATTATCATCATGTTGAATATATTATGTAATAATTGCAATTTACAAAAACCAAAGTTCGGAGTGGCCCCTAGTGGATTGTTTGATTGAAAATTCATCGTTTTGAAGGATTTTCCATACATTCCTAACCTCTCTGAAATAATAAAGGGAGCTTATCCTCACTTAAATCTATAAGAAAAATGTAGAATAGTTTGCGAAATACAATGTGTTGAAATTTTTTTTATGAATCGAAAGCGAAGCGCCATTCAGAAAACTTTTATTTAAACGATATTTTCGTTATAAAAAAAATGAGGTCATTGTTGCAAGAGATTTAGGGAAAAAAATGTGTTCGTGCTGTTTTTATTGTTTTTGTGTACAGAAACATCTTATAATATGGAAAAAATGGTGAATCAGTGGCTAAATCTGAAAAAAATATTAAAATTACTGGAAAGAGTCAGTGGCGTATATAATTCAATAATATTCGTTAGGGTGTCCCTCCGGACGTCACTGAATAGTTTTTTTCTATCAATGGCTGAATACGCCCTCTATAACAATACATGAAATTATCCAATTTCAACTAAATTGGGTGAAACATGTCTGGAATAAAAATAAAAAAACGGATTTGAAAACAAAATTTGAGCCCTTTGTATTTTGAAATTTGAGCGACATTCGAGAACACCTATTTCACATTTATGACTTGAAGTTAAGCAAGGATTCGCTCCTTTTATTTTGTCAGAGGGTTAGGGAAACCCCTTGTATATGCCACATATGAAAACCCATATAACTGGCTGACCTTAAGTTCTTGATCATCCATCCATGAGTAGTTCACAAATCTGTGATCTTTTTTCAACCCATATTGAATACGTAATCATAGTTAAAATTTTAAGAGCTATGAAATATTTTCATCACTTTTTTTTACTCAATCATATTGTTCATGAATCTTTTGTGAAAGGAAAGTAATATTTTGGTGGAGTCAATTTGGCCAACTCATTTTTTCAACTAACGAAGTTAACAATTTTGTTCAACATTTTTAATGAGACAACTGACGAATTGAAAATAATAACATTCCATAATTGCTCCTCGAATTCTAGCATAATTTCTATTCTTATAAATTTCTTCCACATACCTCAAGACCCCTGTGGTTTATCATTATAGTTCACCTTGTATTGATAATGATTTTGTATTAAGAGGTTCAAGTAGAGATGAAAGGTATTGTCCTCGGTATTGTCAGATAACAAAAACAATTAATATGAGACTGCCAAAATATGTTTTTATACATATCTATTCAATTAAGAATTGAAATAAAGCATTCAATATTGGATCACGTCGAGGTCATCAATATTGAATGATTTAATTCAATTCTCAATTGAATATCTAAAAACATATTTATTTTTTCGTTATCTGACAACCCCTTTCATCTCTACCTAATCCTCTTGGTAAAAAATCAATATCAATACAAGGTGAGTAGGGAATGCAATCTCGCGAGATTGACAGTATTGTCGTTCGTTTATTCTTGCGAATAATCACAATATTTGAATAAATTTGGAAAAAATTTAAAAGAATTATAGGTATCATGAAATATACATTTATTTATACGAATTTTTTCAATGAACTTTTTTATCTATCTAACTATTTATTAGTATTCTCTTCTAATATCAAACAAAAGTCTTTCAAGCATGGAACAATTATTTTATAACAAAAGAACGAGAAGTCAAAAACTCAAATGAAACTCATTATCTAAGTTGAATTGACAATTAAACTGAGATATTATCATCAAGTAAAGGAAACTATACCTACTAAGAGATCTATTAGAAATAAAAATTAAATTAACAAAATATACCAATCAAATGAAAGGTTCAGCTCACATGACAAGAAGCACAAAATGTGCAATCTCGCGGAAACTAGATTGCATGTGAACTATTATAATCAACAAAATATAACCGACCACTATACAACCCTCATTCACGATCTCAACAATGTTCACAAACCCTACGTTTTTTTTTCAGGTTGTAGTGAGCGCAGTTTGCTTTTGCATTGCTCTAGCTGCAGAACCCGACACAAAATCGGCAACGCAGGAGAGCAAAAAACAGGACAAACGCGGGATCTTCGGCCTCGGTGACCATGGGGGTGGCGATTTCGGTGGCGGCGGTTATGGAGGGGGTGGCTATGGAGGAGGAGGTGGATATGGAGGAGACGGCGGCTATGGAGGAGGTTATGGAGGTGGTCTAGACCTTGGAGGCGGTGGTCACCATCACGAATCAGTCAAAACCATCGTCGTGGAAAAGAAAATCCCAACCCCCGTAGAAGTCATCAAGCATGTCCCTTACACGGTAGAAAAGAAAGTACCGTACGAGGTCAAGGTATCAGTACCCCAACCCTACACCGTGGAAAAGAAAGTACCCTACCCCGTCAAAGAGTACATCAAAGTACCCTACTATGTCCCACAACCCTACGAAGTCATCAAGAAAGTACCATACGAAGTGAAAGTACCAGTGCCCAGACCCTACGAAGTCAAGGTACACGTTCCCCAACCTTACACAGTCGAGAAAAAGATCCCAGTACCAGTGAAAGTACCAGTGCCGCAGCCATACACCGTCTACAAAAAAGTACCCTACCCAGTCAAAGTAGAAATCCCGGTTCCACAACCCTACACCGTAGAAAAGAAAGTACCGTATGAAGTCAAAGTACCAGTCGACAGACCGTACCATGTGCACGTACCCAAACCGTATCCAGTCACCGTAGAAAAGCACGTGCCTTATCCAGTGGACAAGCCGGTACCTTACGAGGTGAGAGTACCGATCGACAGGCCTTATCCAGTGTCTGTACCCAAACCTGTGCCTTACCCGGTCAAGGTACCGGTACCTCAGCCCTACACCGTTGAAAAGAAGGTACCGGTGGAGATCGAGAAGCCAGTACCGTACCCAGTTAAGGTTCACGTCGACAAGCCGTACCCGGTTTACAAGGAAGTACCTTACCCGGTGGAGAAGGAAGTGCCGTACCCTGTGAAGGTACCAGTACACGTTCCCGTGCATGTACCAAGCCATCACGAGGATTTCGGTGGTGGTGATTATGGCGGCAGTTCTGGTGGGTATGATGGCGGCCACGACGGCGGCCATGATGGCGGTCATTATGGAGGGTACCACTAGTTGTTGTTGTTTTGTAATTGTTATGTAATGTCTGTGGAAAAAATACTCAGTTTCGATATGTGTGATTCATTATGATTTCTTTCTTACGAAGGCGTCCAGTATTATGTAGAATCTGTGTTAATTATTGTATTTATCTACTTTTATAATAAATATTTCTCTATGATTGTTGGTTTTGTTTTCACTGTTGCGAGTCTTGATCCTACATGATGAAATGTTGTATAATCATCAGAAAATTTAAGCAGACATTGACGAAGGAAAGTAGTACCTAATACGTCATGAAATCAATGCAAAACACCAGCAGACAAACCTTTGACAAAGTACTGTCCTGATAGGAAAATATAAATATCCTAGTATTTTTACTGTTGAGGTTCTGCAGCTTGCAATACCGATAACAAAAATGTCTCTGTCCAGTCAACGTTTGAAGGGCTAAGGTGTCCTCTTTATTCCTACTAGTGGTGTTTTTTCCCGAGAGAAACCACCATCCTTTTCACCATATCTAACGCGGAGAACTGTATATCAATAAATATCTGGCAAAGGATAGTAAATTATGTGAAAGTAAACTTTTTGGAGCTGCTCATGTCTCAACAAAGTGCGGCTATACCAAACCCTGTAAAGTTATCAACATAATATATTAGGAAATGGCATTATATTTTTACTCTTTGGGGGTAGTTTCATAAGTTGAAAAGGCATTATTTTTCGTTGTGTTTGAGCTAAACCTGCTCTATTTTGATATGTGTATTTAATTTTTTAAATTGGAAGAACTTAGGAACTCACATATACATTAAAACAAGAACAAAAATTCACCAGGAGAACCTATAGATCAAAAACAAAAAAAAATAACGAAATTATTTCGACTTCGCATCCCTTACTAATAGAAAAATATGTATATCCTTGCAATGAATTTAGAAGGGATCAGTATATGGAATGTCCGTAATATCATTTAAAAACTGCGAAAATTGTATTTACCTAATTAGCATCTATTTTTCTGATGTATTTCTAATAGAAGTTTGTTTAATTGGACATAGATAATGTAATACATATTACATATTATTGTCGAAATGACAATTATGGACCTACATTTATGAAAGTTGGATGTCGTAAGCGTAAGTGTAATATTATGATTCATGTTGAATCAGTTTATAATTTGTTTGATATACCATATTATTATACCATGCATATTAGGTAATAAATTCAGATACAGATACATGTATTCAGTTGTCAACAAATGTATAGGTGAGGATACAGTACCATTTTAAGCTTTCTTAGAACACATTACTTTGCCTTTCCTGTATACAAATCATGAAGCTTCGAGATTATCAGCAGTTTCCCGTTGATTTTTTCTGAATAATATAATATTCATTTAATTCCCACATCAAATTAGAATTTCTTCTACTTCCACGTGAACTTTTTTTATATAAATGAAATCGAATGGGTAAGTATAATATGCATACGGTGTGTTCTCATTTCGCTAGTGAAAGTATAACGATGTTGAGCCAAGATGGCATCTGCATTCATCTGGAACCGTTTTTCTCAATTACGACTATTTGCCAATATATGCCATATGGCAAACGGAGATTTGTTGTTGTCAATTATTATCATTACTATTTCGTTTTACTATTACTGTGCACGATCTATAGTCATGAATAAATCGAACAGAAAGTGACTCTTGTCAATTTTATCATTGTGTTATTATTTCAAGAAAATTTCATCGCCCATGGATTGTCAAATTTCAAGCAATGACATGTCTGTCTAATAGATGAGCATTACTTGAGAGGAAATCAGATGGCTACAAGACGGATAAATCGAAAATGTCGCTGTTATCTGTTACGACCGTAGAAAATTTATAGTGTATAACTCGTTCGGAATGATAATTTTCCACTCTAATGATTGCAAATTTCATTCTCGTGGAAAATCACTATCATTCCGTGCTCGTTGAACAATATACAATTTTTCACCATTGAAATATGAGATTACATGCTGACAAAACACGACCCAAGCCAATAAAGCGTCGCTATTAATTATCCGATTCATAAAAACAAAATAACAAATGAAAGCACTCATATCAGATACCTTCATTATGCGTAGGTAGGCTCTGATCACTATTTCTTCAAATTTCAAATAAAACGTCAGCTACTGTCGATATTGTTTTCCAAATAGCACCATGAATTTTTTTCTGTTCAAGATTCTTTCATGGGATGATCATGTCAGATCCATCGCAAAAGCTGCTTTACAAAAACTCGGATTCTTGTTCCGTGCGAAAAGCTACTTTACACCTCAACAGCTTCTCATGATCTACAAAGCGCAGATACGGCCTGTTCTAGAATACTGTTCCCACATATGGGGTTCAGCACCAAAACATACGCTGATGCTCTTAGATTCCATCCAGAGAAGAGCCATCCGCCTAGTGGGTGACGCCACACTCACTCACTCTTTGACTTCATTGGAACACCGTAGAAAGGTCGGCGACCTTTCGCTTTTCTATCGATACTTCCAAGGGAATTGTTCTTCGGAAATTTCTGCTATCATCCCTTCACTAGCAATACCAGTCAGACGAACTAGACAAGCCCAGTCAGCACATCCTTCCGTTGTCAACCTCGAAAGATGTCGAGCAGCACTTTATCAAAACTCCTTCATCCATAGAACGGCTAGGCTCTGGAATTCATTGCCTGAGGAACTATTCCCAACAACATTTAATCTCCAGAAGTTCAAAAAAAATCCAATACCTATCTCCTATCCCTATCCTCCCTAGGAACGCACGATGTTCTTTGAACATTATAGGGATTCCCTTTCGTGCGCTCCAAGCGATAAAAAAAAAATGTATGACAAATTGTCTGATGGAGAAAATTGTCACTGACAAGCTAGTGAATTTTTCTTTCAGGCTCTCTGATAGGAAATAGTAATTTTCCTAACAAGTGCGGAAAGTGATTCTTTCCCGCACGCGACTGCCGTTGACACGAGCGACGCGAATTGTTAATTATTATTATTATTATTTCATGGGAAGGGTACAGGCAGAGAAAATTGGATAGCAAAGACTAAATGAAAAGTACAACATTCATAACTTGTAAAATAACAAGCTCGACATATAATATAAAGCAAGATTTCGGACATATTTACACATATGATTGACACTTTTTTCTCTTGTATAATAAATAACTATTTATTATTGATGGGTGTAGTATTGGCTCTGATCATTAGTTTTCTAATTTCAACTGTAACGACAGTGACTATATCAACTACCTATCTCTTTTGAAATACTGATATCTGTAGGTTAATCGAGGAGGTATGGTATCTTCATTTTGCTATAGATTATTTCGGATTTTCCCTTCTCTCATTATATTTTGTTAATTTTTCCTAGATCGTTTTGCCTTTGAAGCATCAATGAACTCACTATTTTTTTCTTTTGTGACACAAACGACAATTTCAATAATCCATTTTTTTCTGCAACCGACACAGAAGTCGACTATTTTGATACCAAAATTAGCTCTTGAATTGACGTTTCCATTACTGACACAAAAATAGGTATGTTGCTAGGCAACATATTCAGTTCCTAGGAGCTAAAGTTGAGGTAAAATATTCTGACCACACGGATTTTGCATTGATTTTGATTTGTTGCATTGCATACTGGCACGGCATTGGTGGTTACTTCACATATTTATTTGAGTTAATTGTTTCGGTTGCAGAAAAAATAGCATGTTTCATTCGGATCAAAAGTGATTTTGTCTGACAAGCGAATTTTGCATTTGCGAGGCGGGTCGTTTTTGATCCTAATAAAACAATCTACTATTATATCAGGAATGATCACTTCCGAGGCGGTTGCTGTTCCAAATTTAGAAATTTACACCCTTCAGAAACACATTTAGCTCGATGACTGGCATTTTTTCTCACTGGAGCACTCACGTCATAATATTGGGACTTTCAACCCTGGCTGAGCGATAACCATCGCGTATATATTTCATAATTGCCACTGCTTCAGGCCTTCAGGCCTCAATATAAAAAAAACTAAATGCCACGGGGTAGCTGGGAGGGAGTTCTTATCGATAGCATCGCGTAAATTGAAATTCATTCCACCGCAGCTGGTCGAAAAAGTCGTCAGTATGAGAGGCAGATTTTTCGTCGAGTAACGAACAGGGCCATCGTGATTGTGACAGTTTCATTCTGGTTTCAGTGAAATGGTGCATGGTTCACGAGGATTTTCCATTTTTGAGCATTAATTGGAAAAGCGACAGCGTTCTGTTTTTAAATCGGCTGAGCGCCAGACGTTTATCGTCGTTTTATTCTACGCTTTGTTGCAGCTTCCGCTCTATTCAAATTGAATCTATTCATTTTCATTCCGTTCTCCGTTTTGTTGTAGTTCGTGAATTATTCTGCCACAATCCGCGAACAGTATTATCACTATAAACTCTTTCATTTATTTATTTATTTATTCAATAATACATAATACATCCAGCAGACTTTACATTTTTACAGGGCGCTTGAATTGAGACGTTGAGAGAAAAAATAAGTCAATACATTTCAAGTCTATGTATCTTCGACACATTGTTGTGAGAGGATAATGAAAATGCAGAAGGAATCAAAACCACCGACCAATATCGTTACCACCGATACAACACCAATATACGTTTACCCAGCTCGAACTCGAACCGTCTATATGAGTGCTTGACCGACTTGGAAGACGTATGAAGAACGTATAGACACCATGCAAGAAGTTTTCAAACAATGATTTGAATGATGAATAATCAATAACCCTCTTTTTCACCATGCAATAATCATCCGATAATGTTATTATAATTTACCGGGCAGAAGGAATTCGGTCAATAGCTTTTTGAACATTTTTTATTTATATTCAATAAATCACTTTTATTATTATTATTATTTTCATACTAGCTTTACAGCTTTACCCATTTTATTGATTATAGATGACCCGGCAAACGTTGTTTCGCTATTTGTAGATTTTGACTGATCATAAAAGCGTGTTTTCTCAGTTTTTCAAATTAATATTTATTTTCTACTTCTTATCAGTTCGGTAAACTCTCTTTTAGTTTTGTAAACTATACTATTTATTTTCTACTTATTTTTAGTTTGGCTATATCTATATAAAAGCGTGTTTTATTAGTTTCTCGAAACACTATTAATTACAAAGCTCATTCGACATATCGAATCCAC